CTGAGTCTTCCGTCATACTAAATGTAATTTCTAATAGCTATATGTCAGCATTACATAACCGTAAAAGAGCGGCAAAATTTGATTACTCGAAACTTAATTTCGCAGCTGCTTAAAAAAGTTTGGAAATTATTCATTTGTACGTCTAACAGATTTCTAACAGGGAGCAAGAGTAAATGGGAGAATAAATGAAGGGACTCGCAGCGTGTTACGCTTAGCGCATTCGACTTGTCTTACTTGAAGAAACACGAATACGTGTTTCCGAAAGTCTTCAGTCCGCTGTCGAGACTCGTGCGATTCTCGGCAGTTTGCTCTGGGTTACGCACCCTCGGATGCATGCCACGAGAGATCGTGTTTCTTTGACACGATCGCCTTTGTCATAGCTTTAATAACTTAGCGAGGCAGCAACCTGAGGAAAAGAAACCGATGGTATGCCAATACATCATGTCACTGCAGAATGCGCGTTTATTGGATTTTTCCCGATTAAATTACATTCCGCGACGTCCCATCGATTTGATTTTGAATCTTTCAAGTGCTATCTATTTCTTTGACGCTAATCTTGCATCCGTCGCGGGATAAGCGCATGGTAATAACGATTGTTTATAGAGACAAAGCAACGCGCGCGCGCGCGCTATGGAATATTCGAGGCTGTTACAAGTTATCGATGTGTAATCTGAAGGAACATAAAGCGAAATGAAAATTTTCACCGAGGTATTTCACGTTATTTCAGCAGCCTGTAACGGCGATATACACGCTTGATGAAACGATACACACATTCCGGCATGCGTGCGCGCTCGCGATTTTCGTAGAACTGTTTTGTACGAAGCAGGTTTTTCCTTCTATTTTTTATACGATGGGTTCCCGTTAATCGACCGGATCGCGACGTATCGGTGCAATGCGCCCCAGCTGGATATCTCGCGAAAAATTCAGACCACTATTTGACACCTCGTGAAAGCATCTCATGTAATTGGCAATTAAAGCAGGTGACTTTGACAACCTATCCGACACTTGAAATCCGCTCGCGCTAAAGGGAGCGACAAAATTGTCCGCGGGAATGTTCTGACTTCGGTAAATAAATTTCTGTTAATCCCGCGTTGCTGTCTCTTGCTTTTTTTGTTCTTTTTTTTTCTTTTCGCTTCTCTTTTGCCGACGCTCTTTGGAGATAAATGCTATCGAATAATTCCGCTTCAATTTGAACTCGGGATAGAAGCGTCGGAGGTCCCTTTGCGAATTTTCACTGCAAATTTTCATTTTGTCAGTGAAGTGTCTTTTCAACGGGAGAACGACTATGATGAAACTCGCGAGACAATTCGCGCGATGGCTGTTTTTGGTCGCATTACCGGCCACTTTACGCGTGTCCAAGAGTTTTGAGTATCACCAAAGACTATTTAATACAAAAATAACGCCGAGTTCTTGCATCTTCGTGCCGATACCTTGCCGATATGCCGCATTAAAAATGTTCCACAGAGTACGATCTAAATCCATTTGAAAATTCAATTGATACATCGGAAGAGATGAATAAAGATTATATTTCCCGTGGCGTTTCTTTGCGTCTGCCTGAAAGCTTACTCGTGGCCACAACATGATAATATTTTACTGCTCTTGGATTTTACGACTAATAAAAAGCTAAGAGAGAGAGAGAGGGAGGGAGAGAGAGAGAGAGAGAAAGAGAGAGAATCGCGTGTCCGGTAATTTGGTCGTTTCCTGATTTCCAATCTTTCTCACTCTTTCACGCGCGCGCTTGTTCCCTTCCACTTGAGGTCGTCGAATAAACCAGTATCGAACTCAAATAAATGAGATTCCGCTACTGTCGTTCGGATCCATGGGCGTTGCGAGCATTAATATTTATGCGATCGGAGTAAAATAAGAAAGAGCACGTTCCAAGTAGAAGAGAGTTTGGTGGTACAAAAGTGGGCCATTTGATCTTTCTACGTCAAGATTCCATTCGATCTCGATTTTATGCAATAATGTCTGTTCCGTTTGCGACAAATCTTGCACGTAACTTCACGCCTTAAATCAACGCATACAAGAAATTTGTTAAATCATTCCTTTTTTATCGAACGTTGTGTTCATTACGAATGGAGAAATCGTAACTTTACGTAAAATCTATTGGAATTCAATTTCATTTAATTTTTACGATTAAATATATAGATTTTAGGTGAGGTTGCGATCTCTCTGTATCAGCTGTAACGAGCAACGTCCGATAAGATAAAATAGTTTGACAAATTTATTGTCGGCATCGGCATCTAAAATGTGAAGTAACGTGTAAGGTTTGCCGCGAATGCAACAGATATTATTGCGTTAACGTATGCCTTAGCGTTGCGAGCTGACGACGAATTGCGCGTGATCGCGACACCTAGAGATGCAAATTCGGCGAATGCATTATCATACACATATGCATTATTATTGTACACACGAATAATATCAGTTATCCGGGAAACTAATTAGCTTACTGGATTAATTTCACCTCTCGGTTAACATAACGTCCCGTTTATAGCCAATGTGCAAATACGTGCGCGTAATTGCTGAATACGTCGACGGAATAATCGTTTCGATTGCGCCGGATATTCATCCACTTAGCGGAAGTGTCATCGCATCCGCGAGTTATTTATGCCGTCGCATAAAGCGAGAAACTGAAGGGCCAATTATAAACGATTTACATAGCCATGACTATAGACACGATATACATATATATCGATCTTTTACAACTCGGGATACAGCGGACGAGCAATGCTCGCGTCTATTTTTGTAAGCTCGGTGTGCTCGGTGTGCAAAATAAACGAGTGAAAATAAGCGCTCAAATCAAAGAAGCGAAAGCACATCAAAGCGTCTGCAAATTTCAGCGTAACTTCATTTCACGGCTTGAAAAGTTGTCGGATTAATAAATTTCGCAACGTTTGCGATAACACCGAGTGTACGATGGCGAACTTCAGTCAGCCTCTTAAAATTCGTGTCCTGCCCTAGGCACGGAGTTTTGTTTCAGTATTAATCCCGCAGATACCCCCCGACGAACTGGTAATTTGAACTTGACACCCCTGCCCCCCCCCTCCCCCCAGCCAACCCACCCCCGCCCCGCCACGCCGTTGACATCGGCGGGCGAGTAACGGGAGCGTCTCTTGGCCAACCGAGCATGATTTTCGCCTCATTTACGACCGCCGTATAAATATAAATGTCGAGAGGGGACGAGAGAGACGCGCGAGAGATGTACGGGCGCGTTTACGGTGTGTTACGCTAAACGCTTCTTTGAAAGTCTGATCTGCCACGATGGGGCTAACAATGGAGAACGATCTGCAAAAAGTGCGCGTTCAATGGGAACGATCGTCGAGTGTGCGCGCGCGCAGGGAGGTAAGTGATTCGCCGAATTTACGACTCGTTGCGTATTGGAGATTGCTCACATCCTGTCCCGCTCCTATCTACAATTTCATTCGATTCGCAAGAGACAAGATCCGTCCATCGAGACGGACGTCGGGGATTATCAGCAACGGCTTTCCCTTCCTTTTCACCGCAGCCGAATCGGAGAAATTAATTATCTCTCCTTCCCCCTCCAGCCCCCCTCCCCCCGCGGGCAAGACTTCTTCCGTAGCGGCACGCGCCCTTTCGGACACGCGTGTTGGATGGCGCGGTAATTAAAAAAATCCTAATTAATTAACGGAGAGATCATAACGCTGAGGAGGGAGGGGATTTCGGTCGATCACTCGGCGGATATTCACTCGTCTCCGCGCAAGCGAGCGCGCGCGCGCGCGCAAAGTCGGAGTCGGTCAATTAACAATTGTGATTGTGAGCGCATTAACAACACGCGCGAGCGCGTATATTCCCCCTGTCGTCATTATACTTTCTTTTCCAGCTTTCTGACGAGTGCGTATAATTAAAATCGAAATGCATATGGAGATGCCGGCGTTAACGCGCGGATAATTATTACGCGATGTTCCCGCGCGGTCGCCGCGCCGCGCCGCGCCGCGCGGTTCTCTCTTGGCAAACACATGCCGAGAGAGGTGGGAGAAAAATTGCACGTTAGAAACGTCATTGCGCCGCACATATACGCACTCGCGCACGTACACACGTATGTCATAGGTCACATACACATACGACACACATAGCACGTGCTCGCGCGCGCTCGGGCGAATCTCTGAAGCCGGGGCGTGAGGTAAAATTGTACAAAAAGAACACGGTATGCGGCCGTATACTCCTAATGGAGTAGTATCGCGGGAAAAGTGCTGTGCGAGTAGCGCAGCGTGTTCCCGCACACGCGCGCGTACTCGCGCAATACTCGCGCGTGTGCGCGTCCGTACACGTACGTCGGGGATTAAGTAGGAACTTCCTGGCTCGAGTTATTCACGCTCGCGGGCAAATATTCAACTCCGATGAAACTCAAAGCCGAAATTCTGCTGATCCCTTCAGGGTCGGGAGTCATTACTAGGTTTACGGTAATAGAGAGGCTTACAATAATTCCCTCTATCACGAGCACCGCCGTTCGAGTCCGCCGTCCTTCTGCACGCGCTTCTGCGGCGCTTTCGGCGCCGAAAGGCGGGAAGAGAAAAAAAGAGAGGACGAAGAGAGAAGTTTCTTCATTCCGCGTGCTTATCGCGTGTGGCCCTCGTAACGCGAGGATCGCGCGTACGCGTGCGCGCGACGATTTGAATATAAAACTCGCGAATTCATCATGCATGCAAAACGGGAAAACAAACAGGGCGAAAGCGGGCGGTAGCGCCCGCTGCTATGTCGCGCCATTATCCTAGGATCTTATTGCTCCTTATTATGCGGAGAGGCGTGCCGGAATATAATTCGTCTTGCCGCGCTCACTAGCGGAAGGAAGGGATTTCGCCATCATCGCCGTAGGGAAAGCAATGTCACTCGACGGTGACGTAATTCGTTACGTCCTCGCATGATAATAACGATATCCTCTCGCGAGGTGACACGAGGAGGCATCGGAGGAGTAGGGTCGCGCCGACGCTTCCTAAGAATACGTAGAAAGATCGCGCGACAGAGGGAGAGAAAGTACTTACTTTGAGGATCTCCAGTTGGGAGCGCACAAATTCCGCGCGGCTGGCAATGTCGGGAATCGCCACAGGAAACGAACCCATGTACTACGGCAGAAAGAACTTCGTGTTAGAGCGAGATATATATATATATATATATATGATACATCGGCTAAGATTCTCTCGATATAGCTGTCAATTTCTTTCTCTCGCCGAAACAAACTTGGAAATATCCGATAACAACGCTCGGGGAAATTTAACGCGAAGGAATCACTCGCAGACGCAACAAAGTGTATCGGCCCAGTGATGATCGGATAAGCCGCAGGAACGCGCGAGTCGAGCAAAATCAGAACGTTATCCAGGGAGAGAACGTTGGAAATCTCCACGAGGGACACGATGCGACACGAAATATGCGTATGTAAATTATGTCTTTGCGTCATACGATTAATTTGACACATCGTATCGCACATCCTGCGTGTATTTATCCTCGCGTGACTAATACAACGATCTACCGCGTGTTTGCGCGTGCATGCTCCCAATACGTCTCCCATGTTTATTATATTCTCGCGTTCCACGAGAGAGAGAGAGAGAGAGAGAGAGAGGGGGAGAGAAAGAGAGAGAGAGAGAGAAATAATTATCGGCTTGTCGACGTAACCGTGCTTCGAGGGGTCGCGCGCAGCGGGCAGTCGCCAGACGGCGACGTCGCATAGCACGAAAACTATAACGCCACGCACACGCCGTTGGAGAACAATAAAGGGCGACCGGCCTAACCTACGACAAGAATTTAATTTCCTTTTTCCGTTTCGAGGACATTCGCGCACGAGGAACGCGACCCCTCCTCCGCCCACGTCCGCCGCCGACGTTTCCGTTCGATAGTCAATTTGGCTGGCGATCATTCCTGTCCCCGCACGCCGGAACGAAATCTTCCAAATTTCGTTTCTGTCCTTGATCGAGGCAACCGCTATCCTTACGGTTCAAAGGAAGACTGTGTCCCCGATGTTTTCTACGAAATTTCTATCGACTCAACATTTTTCTCTGCCCTCTCCTCTCCCCCCCCCCCTCTCTCACTCTCTCTATCTATCTATCTATCTATCTATCTATCTATCTATCTCTCTATCTATCTATCTCTTCTCTAATCATTGCGTATGTTGTTGATGCTACGTCAGCATATATAATATCAAACGCGGATTAAGGATACGTTCCATCGAGATATTCAACGTGAATGTTTGCTTGTCATCCGCAAACAACTCTTCGTGTTTCCGGGGGGTATCCAGAGCGGAGAAATGCCCCTCATAAATAAAGAATGACGAAAGAATTCGTCGTACTTCCGGCAAGAGAGCATTTCTCCCGTCCGGTCAAACGTGTCGCGCGCGACGATTATATGGTCGATAAAAATAGCGACCCTCCATGTAACGACGATAAATAAAAGCACCGGGGGGTAAATTCCAGGGACGTAATAAATAACAGTACCTAATGCAATTATGCGCTCATAGAGGAACCAGCTTGTGCCGCATATTTTCTTTCTCGTTCGTATTCTCATCGCGATTTTAAACACGCCTCGCGATTCGACGATTCTGCGAAACTATTCACGTAAGATCGCTTGTGTCGAACTTTTCGCAGACCATACCATCGCAAAAACATCGGTACGCGCTTAAGTATTTGCAGCGGGTTAAAATAGTATATATATATGATTTATAAATTAAAATCCTCGAGATATATCCACGAGTGAACGAATTCCGGAACGAGAAGCTCAGCTGGGAGAGAAAGAAAAGGGCCGTACGGTCGAATAGAACGCACGTAATTTACAATTCCACCGCGATTCCTGAGCTCGCGAATCTTTCATGCTGCCAGTATTTTGATCGGCAGATTCGTACCGCAACATAATCCCGCTTTTAATCCACCCGGATGATTCTCATTGTTGTGTTTCGTCGAACTTGTCTCTGGGAGGATCTCCTCTCGGAATCGCCGGGATTTTCCTGAAATATTATGCCACTGCAGAAATGGCTGAAATACCCGCCGAGAATTCCATAGATGTTTTAAAATGGCATTGGTACAGCTTCTATTCTGAATGCCGAGCGCGGAATCTTTTCATTCTAATTACCAACAGCAGGATGGGATCGGATAGCGAAGACGCGCGATACATTTTCGGTATACACGCGAGAAAAAAAAAATATGATTTCCCGAGTTACAACTTTATCGGAGCGGAAGAAGATACGTCGTGTACAAGTGCGTTACACGCGCACACGTGTCGAACGAAAATATTCGCAATTTGAAAAAAGCACTCCGCACGTTCCAGGAGCGTTCTTATCTTCAAATCCCCAGCGCAACTACGAAATTCGTACTAAAACATTTCGCAGTATCCTCTACATACAGAACGGTCCACTTTAACGTGAGCAGAATCACGTGCAGAAACGCTAAGCAGAAGCCGGTATCGATCGATTTTCTGGGCGTTTTCATCAAGACTGATGTCGTTCACAGCGAAATTATCGCATCGATTAAATGTCTTTCTCTTAATCGTCAATTAAATTGTCCCAGCTCTCAACTTCTCTTCCGATACACGTCCGTTTATAGATTAAAACCAGTTCCCCCGTGCGCAAGTAATTTCTTCGCTATCATTGTGTAAACTTTTTCTTCTTTTTAATGAAAGCCGATTCTCTCCGCCGCGCCGCGCCGCGCCGCGCAAACAGCGTCGCTGCTGTTCCGCGATTACCAGCGGAACATTTCCACGACGCGCGAGCAATCGACCGTGCTAATATCGTGCAGGCATTAAAATAGGCGTTAAAATGAATCGATTGAACGATCACGACAATCGAAGAATGTAGAAGCCTCTCTCTCTCTCTCCCTCTCTCTTTCTCTGCGACGCTCGGTGGCGCACATGGCACTGTCAGTGAGGAGTCGTTACGATTCTTACGGCACCATAAATCCACGATATATTTCACGGTGGCGAAATATATTGGTTATTTTATTCGATCGTTTATATCTGGGTTGAGCCACGCGGTTCCCCTTCTAGGTGCGCGTAAGTACGAGCCGAGTGATGTAATGACGCTGCGAAATACCGCGATACGTGATTTAAAGTGCAGCCCGTAAAGCGGGCTCAGTCCGCTCCCATATATCCGAGGGACTCTTTAAAATCAAAGTATTTTTTTTTGTCGTCGCGTACACACAATCGCATGACGGGAGAAGAAATGGATTTCTTTTACGTGGGATTGGAATTCTCCAACGCACAACTGGTAACTCCCGTCAATTCGAATGTGGCGAAGCGAGGTGTTCCGGATATTTAACTGTCAGTCGATACGTGACGCGCACGTAGACGCGCGGTGGAAGGATCTAAGCGTGACACACAGATATCCTATCTCTACACTATCAGATATTTCGAACGTGACCTCTGACGTCTCTCGGTAGCCGGAGCGTCCTCCGTAAACGGCGTTAGAAACGCCGGCTGCGTCAAATCTCCTCTCCCCTCCCTTAGTCATTACTAATCTACTTTCACGTATCCTTGTTTTCAAAAGCATTGTTTGTTCGTCCCTTTAACGGCGCATTTCGTTAATTGCTCGACATCTTGTACCGTCGCCGGCAACGGCGACGGCGGTGGTGGATGCGGTGGTGGCGGTGGCGAGGTCGGACGTATCGCGGGGAAATAATCGTAACTCTTCCCATTTCTCATCGTACACCGACGAAATTGCAGCATGCGCGCGCGGTTAACGAGCTCGTTGACGGAATTTTCCTCGCTATAGCACACCATGGAGTGCCTAATTTCGCCCTACCGACGGACCGAGAACACTTGCTCCACTTTCGTACGGAGAACCGCGAGCGCGTCGAGAACACGCCGCGGCATATTCCGCGGCCGAACGAGTTTCGTTAACGATAATAATCACCTGTTGCAGTTTTTCGCGTTTAAATATAGAATCGAGTTAGAGAGAGAGAGAGAGAGAGAGAGAGAAAATAGCGGCCACTGGCCGTGAGACCGCTTTCGTGCTAGCGAAGGTTGTTATGGTAAATCGCTGATTAAAATCGTATTTCGCTATCTATTCGCCGCGTTATATATTCATTCTGCATTCTACATTCATTGAATATATAGCGTTTAATACGAACAATATTATCTCACAAATGTTATTTCAATTTTCAGTTTAATTCTTGCAACTTTTGTGCTCTGTGGGGGAGGCGAGAGAGATGACATCTGAAGGTCTGTTCGTTGCTATTTGTTGTATTTTGTTAAAACATTAATTTCTTCCGCGGCATTGTACAGAGAGAGTCGATTTTCCAGCGACATACCGGGTGATTCGCGGGCGTTCAACGAAAAAAAAAAAGAAGAAAGAAAAAAGCAGAGCGACTCTTTGATCAAATCGGGGAGTGTATATTTTCGCTTAAGCGCGATGCCAGAAATGTAACTTTCCGTCGCGGATTGGACGCGCATTAGATCGATTTGTCAGGCGGACCGAATTACAGTCGAATACCACGGAATACCACAGCAGCCGGTGCGAAAATAACCGCCGTAATCTTTTATGCGCGCGTTTATCGCGAATGGGTCATTCCCACTCAACGGTAAATCCGTTTACGCCGCGCGGAAGGCATATCGCACATGGTCGAGATCACTTTCACCAGTCGTTGAATTTTGCGAAATTATGCGGAATTGCTGGGGAGAGTCGATTAACCGCTGCGTGCCACAGGCGAAACGTGTCGTGTCACTGTTCACTGTCGCTCTCGTACGATTCTCTCGTGCGACTCGACTCGGATACTTTCACGCTTCGGAGATGTCGATTCGCAGTCGATTTTAGCGGGAGACATACGACACGACTTCTTTCAAATTGTATATCCACCACTGGATGATATAGACATCTGGAGAAACAGTTTCTCTCTCTTAATATACCTGAGCGGCATACATTTTCATGCAAATGAGATTCAGAAAATTATCATTCCACTCGCGTCGCCTCGACGCCAAATTAGACTGATGTAAAATACTACGTGATTATGTATAATCGCGACATAATGTGATGTATCCTGAAGAGAGAGAGAGAGAGAGAGAGAGAGAGACATTTTATTAACAAAAAGGAAAAATTAAGAGAAGAAATCTTCTTTTTATATTTTTTTTTTTTTGCTTAGAGTTGATT